CCCCCCCCAGCCCCTTCACCAGGCCCAGGAAGGCAGGCCCACCCCAGAAAGCCACGTTTAAGCTGAGACAAACATGCCTCTCCCCACCCCCACCCTAGGCCTTCCCTCAGCCTTTTTCTCCTGTCCAGGACTTGATTTTTAAAAAACACCCACCAGAAAGCAAAATCCAAGGGCCAAGATCCCTTCCGCAAATCAAAATAATATCCCTTAAAACCCAAAAGTTATCCTGCTACCTCCCATCCCACCCTTTACCACCCCCACCTTCCGACACACCCCCCAAAACTCTTAGCAATCAAAAAGATCTAAGATGGTGGTGTAAGCAGAGTTTTCAGGCCCCGGGGGATGCCGGACCCCCTCGGTCGAGACCCCTATCTGTCCAGCATCAAATCCTGCCAAGGCCTTCTGCTCCTTACGCCACCCCCCGTACCCCCCAAACCGAACAGCTGCCCCCAACTCCCATCCTCGGCAGAGCCTTTGTGGGGATGAAACAGAAATCAAACACTATACTAACGGCTGGGGATGTTGGGGGGCCCTCTGGCCTGTCTTTGGTTTCCATCTGGGGGACTCCAGTTTCGGGGTGTAAGAGAAAGCCTCTCCAATCATCCCCCCAGTTTCAAGGCTGACAAAGCCCAACCCCACCCCAGCACGCACCTCCAAACCTCCCCCCCAACCGCCACGTCTCTCCTGAAAACAGGGGACACTTTCCTCCCCACTTACCTCAGCTACTCTCCCCTGAGATCCTGGTCCCCTATTTTGAAGGGAACAAAATTTGGGGTGCATCCCTCACATTTGGGGTGCAGGAGAAAGGAGCCGCCCCAGTCGCATCGCTGGCCTCCTTCCTCTCGGCTGGCTCAGGGAGTGGGGAGTGCCCTAGGGAGGGGGGACCCCCACAAGAGAGCACATGAGGGGGCTCCTCCACTCCCAGTCAGAATTGGGGACACCCCCCCCCCAAACCCGTCCCAGCCCATCCGTCTCCAACTCGGCGGGAGAGGCAGCTGCAATGCCCCAGTCAGATTCCCCCAACACTACATTCCTCACCCCATCTAGAGGGGTCCCGGGGGCCCCAAAAAATCCCAAAAAAATCTAGGATGTTGGCTGGACAGTTCTGGACTAGCTCCCCAAATTTGGGGTCCTCAGATCCCCCCGTTTTTTCAGGAAAATTCCGTCTTTCACCTGCCTCCCGCCAGCCCTGCTCTGTCCCGATGCCAATTTTGGAAGTCACTCCCTCCTTCCTCCTCCCCGTCTCTCCAAGCCCCCCCCCACCCCCCCGCTCGGGGGCTAGGGTCCAGGACACCTGGCTTCCAGGCCGGGGGAGGGGGGCACTCCTCGAAGGGCTAGGGGCCAGGAGGTCAAGCTCATAGCCCCAGTCTTAGGAAAGCAGGAAAGCCCGATCCTCCCTTCCCCTCCCCCCTGGCTGGTCTCCGTGGTGGTTTAGGAAAGCCTGGAGGATTGGAATCTGCCATTGCTGTTGCACAGGCAGTTTTTTTCCTTGGGTTGGGGGGGTGGGCGGTGGGAGGGAGAGAGGGGAGGAGAGCCAAAGAGAGCAGGGACCGGGGTGTGCAGAGCTGGCCTGGATTACCCCCCCAGCCCCTGCTGCCGTGGGGAACCCCCCCATCTCACCCACACTCCCAGTCCTCTGTCTGCTTTCTGTTTGGGGCTCTTATCCTAGAAAATCAGGGTACAAGATTCCCCTCCTTGTACCTCACTACCACCTCTCCTTGCACAGTTCCAACAGACTGCCCTAGTCAGGGGTGTCCACTTTACCACAACACACTCCATTTCCCCCCCATTTGCCCCCAAACCGAGGTATGTGCCCTTGAGAAATTGGGGTTCAGAGTCTGAAACCACCTTTTCTCCCTCAGATCTATCCAGGCCACATAGAAATAAGGGGAGATACACTCCCTTTTCAAATTTCGTCCTTCAAATCCTGGGAATATTTGGAGGTTCACTAAAGAGACTTCTAGAATCTGGGGTGAGCGGGAGCTATAAGCAAAGGACATACCAAAGCAGCATCGTGCTCCAAATTAAGGGAACCCTAAAATCAATCTCACCTCATGATCCATCGCTCAGTTACACCAAATGCACCCAAAGAGTGGCAAAACACCCCAAAATAAGGACACCCCAAAACTTTAGTCTCCTACCCTGGGCCCTCATCTTGTTTCTCCCCCTGGAAAAAGCCTCCTGGCTCTCAGTGCATACACAGAAATATCCCCCTCCTCAAAGTAAGTTTGCACAACATTCAAATATAAAGCTTTGCTCCCCAGCAAGGACCCACAACCACAGAAGGCCTTCAAACTTGCTCCCAGGTTCCTATTACGTTCCACCTCAAGCTAATAAAAAACCCCAATCGAATTTAATGTCCCTCCAAATATAATCTGAACCTCAAAACTTATCTGGCACCCCAAAACAGACTGCACCCCAAACCAGCATGATTACTCCACTTGAAATCAGATTGTCCACATACACTGATGACTATGAATCCCCAAAGCAAAATCCTCATCCACCTCTGAAAAACACTTAGCAGGTTCCCCTGATAGTCCAAGATGACAAACTCCAAATTGTGGGTGTCAGAATCCCTAGAACTAATGTAGCTTCAAAATCAGCTCCATACCTCAGACTTACTACTGGCCCTCAACCCTGAATGCAGCCTTCAGGGCCCAAAACAATCAAACTAACTCAACACCCCATAGTAAACATGCACCCCACAATTGACAAATTGACCAGACAACACACAAGTAACTCCATCCTGATACCAAAGGGAGCCCCCAGTCTAACTCCCACCTCCAACTGGGCAGAGACCAAGTAACCCTCATTTGCAAAAGCCACCTCACCACCGTGAATCCCCAGTGGTTCCCCATTCCCAGTTTCTCAGCAGTTCTTTCCTGCACCCAAATAAAGACACCCTCACATCTGAAGGGGAGGGCCCCAGGCCTCGATATGCAGCTCCACGGATAATGGTCAGTCATTACTGGGCAACGGTAGACTCTCCTGAGCCCAAATGCAAGTCCCGCTTTGCAGCTGAACTCAGCTCTTGCCCCACTTCTCCAAATGAACCTTGCCCCGCCAACGTCTCCCCAAACAAAATACGAGGGTGTGACCCGTGCTTATCTTCCAGATCAGGGATATCAGTCCCTCCTGCCCTCTCTCCCTTCTTTTACCCTGAGACCCTCCCTGTTTCCCCTCTGTCTGTTCACTGCACCCAACTTTCATATTAATGTTCACTAAAGATTCACCTCTAAAGACGGATAATAGTATCTAGCTTAAAAGAATAGAAACCCTGGGCTCCCAGGACTCAGATCCCGCTTCTTGTCCCACTCATTTCCCTTGTTCCCAAAGCCCGCGGATTTCTCACCCCAGATAGGAAACCCATCCTCGGAGCAAAGTCCCCTCTATCGCCTAACTCTCCCTCCCTCCGCCCAACCCTAGTCCCCTGGACAAAATAAACCAGAGCAAAGAGGGGGAGAACGAAGGTTTCAGCCGCTCAGACCTAATCGATCCTGCGCCCCCGTTTGAGTGGACCCCCAGCAGGGTGGAGAAGACGGGCGAGGCGAGGCTAGTGCTCGTCCGCCCCCTCGTGGAAGGAGCCAAACATTGCCGAGCTTTGCCTACTTGCCGCGCTGGACCCCGGCGTCCCGCCAGCCTCCAAGCGTAGCCGACGGGCGGATGCCCGAGGCCCTAAAGATCTGGGACTGGGGGAGGGCGAAAGGGCTTTGGGCGGGAGTCTGTCTCGCTGGATCCCTAAAAGGATTCAAAAGAGAGTCGGGAGCGAAAGACCGGACCCTAGGTCTCCTGAGCGTCGTCTCTCGGCCCCCACCAGGGGCTTTCCCCACCTCCTCGAGGGGAAGCAGCTGGCGGAGCCGTCCGGTCGCAGGACAATGGAAGGAAACGAACTAGAAATCATATCCGCCCCCTCCCTACCGCGCCCGGTCAGAGCCCCTCTTTTGCAGGCCCCGCTAGAGGAGCCTGTTGAATGACCACACCCTCCCGCTGTCTGAGACCCCACGGGAGCCCACTATCACCTCCCCAAACCTAGTTCCTCTTTGGGCTCCCCTTTATCTCCCTTAATACCGTACACTGGAAGGGGGAGTTTTGCTGTATTCACTCTCCTGTAACAGGTTCCTTCCTAAAGCCAACACACCAATTGTCGCTGTCCCAGGCCCCCCGACGACCCAGGTCACCCATATTTCCAATCTCAATATCCCCAACCACCCCAATTCCAATGTCCCATCCTCAGTTCCACTTTCAGTGGCCCAAGACCCCTTACGTTATGACCACCTAGTGTTTCTGAGGTCCCGCCCTGAAGCCGGAGACCCCGCCCCGGGTTCGCCATCTGGAGAGCGAGGGAGGAAGGAAGGATACAGACCCAGGCGTTCACCCCACCTCCACCCCCGCCCCCGACATCCCGGCCAGATAAAGGAGCCGAGGCCAAGAGGGGAGAGAGACCCCGCCCCCCTTGAGAAGAAAGCTGAAGCCCCTGCAGGACGGGGGTAAGAACCAGAGACTGAGGGAGCCAGACTCCTGGGTCCCCCTAAGAGGGTTGGGGCTTGTTGATGGTAAGAAGACCGAGGCCCAGAAATTGAGCTAAACTAGGGATCCGGGACTAGAGAATGGACTTTCGTGATTCGGGGAAGGGAGCTTCGATTGGGATTTGGAGGGGTGTGGACCACGGGTCATCTGGAGTCTCCAGGCAGGATCGGACTCCTGAGAACAGGCGCGCGGTGGGGCAGAGGGGAAATGGGGGTGCTGGAAGGGCACTGGGAGTCTAAGTAAGGGCGCTGCGGGCCGGATTCCTCACACTTGCCATCGACGCCGCGGTGTGGGAACCTTCAACTCGCTCCAAGCGCTGTGGAATCTAGAGGAGGAAAGCGAGCGATGCTGTGGTTGAGGGTAGAAAGAACAAGATGAATTAAGTGAGGCTGCGTGAGCCGGGGCCGGGGGCTTGGCTCTAGCTGCACCTCAGCAGGAAGAGGCAAACTGCGGC